AGCCGCTGCTCTAGGACAGTGATGGCGAACCTATGACACGCGGAACTCATTTTTTGTTGTTGATTTTTCTTTGTTAAATGGCATTTAAATATATAAAATAAATATCAAAAATATACATCTTTGTCTTACTATGGTTGCAAATATCAAAAATTTCTATATGTGACATGGCACCAGAGTTAAGTTAGGGTTTTTCAAAATGCTGGCGCGCTGAACTCAAAAGGTTTGCCATCACTGTTCTAGGAGGACCCCTCTCACCTCCATTCTCCCAAGACCTTAGCCTCCAACACAAGAAGTGTTTACAGCTAAGTGACTTCATTAGCATGAGATTGAACGACTAGTTCTGGAAAGTAGAGCTGTTTTGCTTGAAAGGCTGCTTTCCGCCTCCCTTGCCATTACTAAGCCCTGTGCATGGTGCAGGAAGGACGCATGGCTGCATGGGAAGTGGCTCTCAGTTGTTTGACACGCCGGGCAGCGATCAGGAACCGTGGGCGTTCTTTCTAGCAGAAGAGTGAGAGGCAGGCCGGGAAACGCCCACCGTGCATCCTCCTTTAGCCCTCGGTGCCTGGTGTGGTCCCAGTCCTTACTTCCGGTCACAGATGACAGGCTGAGTCACTTTTCCAAAGTCTCATGGCCACCAGCAGGAGCCTGGACTGGAACTCAGATCTTTCCAACTTCCCTCAGCCCCACCTGCCACACTGACTCCCAAACAAAGGCAGCTCCAGGGCGGCACGTGGACCATCGCGACAGTGTCTGCCCAGGAGCTGGGGCAGCTTGGGCTGGCAGTAAGCTCAGAACACTCTGCCTTATCTCTGCACCCTGAACCAGGATGCGGGTGACAGGAACTGGCAGGACTTGTCTGCCGGAGGAAGTCTCCTCTCTCATATCTGCAAACCCAAAGGCGACAACGTCTTCTGCCTTAAGGTGCAGTTAGGTATTTTCTTTTATTTTGCACAGTAAAGCTACAAGAGGAGGTTAGTGATGCTGTACATTTCTCGTATGTCCCGTATGGCCATGGCTCTTACATACCATTGTCGGTGCACCTGAGACACCGTCTTGCTTGTGTGTGTGTGTGTGTGTGTGTGTGTGTGTGTGTGTGTGACCAAATGAAATTTTTCATTCAACAAGTATTTTCTGAGTGCACACTGTATACCAGGCCTTACCTGGTCCCTGGGACTCAGAATGAGATCAATGCCGTCCTCACCCTCAGGGAATCACATCTGCGGGGAAAACAGGCCCATGAAGAGCTGGTGTTTAAGATGACGATGGCGAGCACCCCAGTGCTCTGGCCCCTGTAATGTGCGTGGGGTAACGCCTGCAGGTGTCCCGGTGGGTGCCCTGTGTCTGTGTCGGGAAGCACCCCCCGCAGGGCTGCTCTGGCCGGGCCAAGCCTGCTGGACGCCCGTGATCCCACCCTGCCGTGCTCCAGAGGAAAGTAAGAATTTGAAAACAACAGCAACAAGGAAACATGAACCGTATCTAGGATGAGGACAAACGTGACCACAAATCATAGTTGAGAGGGTGTGGCCTCCAGATAAGCTGCCGGCGTTTTCCTTTCCCGGGAGAGGGTTTAGGTAGGGGACAGACAGATCGATGCCCGTCTTTTGTCAGAACCTGAACTCTTACTGTGCCTCCACTTGGGGAGAGGGTAGAGAAGCCAGCATTCCCCTTGTCCAGCGTCAGGCCGTGTGTGCTCTCCGCGCTCCGTGCGGGGCCGGGAGGCGGCTCACGTTCTCAGATGTCCTTCCCACGGCAGTGAGGCGGCCCTCTGCACCCACCAGGCGCGACTCCACGCCACGTCCACAGGGGCTTTGTGTCACTTCCTCCTTACTAACCAAGCGTTCTGTGTTCTTCTGACGTGATGACGAATGTTTTCACTCTTAGTGGGCATTCGCTCAGTGGGAAGCCTGCTCCATGCTCACCTCTCCTCTGCATTGCACGGGACTGCCTCTCAGCTAACAGCCCCGGATGGGGCCTCTATTCTCCATGCATCTCTGCTAACCTGTCCTTTTCTCTCTGCCTGCCTGCGGCCCACCGGGCTGTGCACACAGCCCTCGGAGCACAGTGGCCACCTCAACTCCAGCTCCCGCGCCTCCTCCAGAGCCAGCTCAGCGCGGGCCAGCCCAGTGGTGAGTGTGCCTGTCTGCTGCCTCTCTCCCTCCTCACCTGTCTGTCCTCTGTCCGCCTCCACAAGCCTGGACGCAGGAGAAAGTAGCAAGGCCTCTCCTTAATCTGTTATGTCTACGTACAAACACAAATGCGGGGGGTAGGGGGCGGGGCGCTACCTAGTTTGGAATATTACTATTTGGTGATCCCGGAATTGCATTGCAGAGTTTCTAAAGGACCGGGTGAGGGCTGTTTAAACAGCGGGGCTGGGAGGTGGATCTTACTGGGAAGAGGGAGCTTTGAACAGTGGGGGGAGTGTAGTCATGTGCATCAATGTGTTGTTTTTTATGATTTGAAAACTGAAAGGATTGACTTAGCATTCTGTTTGACATGTTACTTGTTCGACCCCGGCGGTTTTTCCACGCGGTGTTGGCCTGACAGTCCGTTGCCCCTTTAGCTGTGCTCGGTCCCCACCACCCCGCCACCCCCGGGGTCTCAGCCTCTTTAGTGTGTGCGAAACCACAGGATGCACTCCTGTTGGTCACTCGGCATGGAATGACCTATGTTTTGCTTCGGAAAATAAGGGGCCCTACTATCTAGTCGCCATCCTTTGAATGTCATTATTACGTGTTTCCTGGAGTCTTTGGAACATTAGGCACTTTCACCTCATCGGATGCTTTGTATGTGGCTGCTACACATTCTTTGAACAATAAGGGATTTACAGGGCGGTTTTGCCCCGGGGACTCCTGGGGATGGGGGAGGCTGGCTGTGACCAGGGGAGGGGTGCTCAGTGAGCAGGAGCGGGGCCACAGTAAACCCTGGACACAGGAAAGAAAGCAGGGCAGCGTGGGTCCGTTTTCTCCACTCCTCCATCATGGAGACGCTCGAGTGTGGTTCTGAACTCAGTTAGGCCGTGCTCCTGCCCAAAGTGTAGGCCGTGCTCCTGGCAATCCAAGAAGAGGCCTGGAGCTGAGCTCTCCATGGCACACGTGGCCCACGAACACTGGTGGCTTGTATGTTCTTTAAATTAGATGCAGTCTTTTAAAGTCACGAGGGTCCCTACCAAATGCAGATGTCATCTGCTTCTGGGGAAGCAGACAAAGGGACCCCTGGAGACTGGGCTCATATTGCTGAATAGGGTGGGTGGGCGGCCTCGGTGCTCCCTTCCTGGGTCCTGCCTCCGTGCCAGTCACCTCTGGGCTTGCACTGGTGTGTTCCTGGTAGTGGAGAAATGTCCCTCTCCACCATTGCCCAGCGGGGGTGAGAAAACAGCAGATGGGTCAAGGCGGTGGGTGTTAGAACAGAAGTCTCCAGCGTGGGCTGAAGGCACCACTTCTGTGCCCGTGTCACCTGCCCGCCCACCCTCACCGCCACTGGAGCCTCCCACCCCGTCCTGGAGACCAGCCATGAGGGGACCAGGAGAAGCCGCGTCCTGAACGCACTCAGCTGGGAGGTAAGGACACTCCTCCAGGCCAGGTGCTCATCACTCGCCAGCACCCATCGAGCAGGAAGAGCGAGATACTCAGCTGTTCAAGATCATGTAACTTCCGTTTTTAAAATCTGGCAACGCTGCTTCTTACGGATGTTGCAAAATGACCAATGGGCACTATTTTCGAACTCAAATTCCTACCAGGGCGAGCCTCCTCCCAGCTCAGCTCTTCCCTAGGTTTTCACATATCAACTCACCTATGTGAAACCTTCCAACTCCTCGGAAGAAACATTCTCCATGGAAGTTAATGGCAAGCCCATCCTCCTTTTGGAAAGAAGGAGTCACAGATGACCAGCGAAGTCTGTGGCTCCACTTGCAAAGGGCCCTGGCCCCTGAGCACACGGCATTGTAAAACCTGTGATTATCTGACATTCAGGTTTATTCAGGCGTCGTGATGACGCCACAGAATAACAGGCTCAACCTAGTCAGACTGAAGAGACTGAAATCAGATACAGATTTCTTTGTCAGAAGCTTCTAAATTGTGACAAATTTACTCCCATATCACGGGTTTAGTGGATGCCCATAAGCAGAGGGGAGCGTGAAATGTGCCTGGTGTCCCCGGGGTCTGGTGACCAGAGCTGGGTGTCCCTGCAACTGAGGCCCAGTGAGGTCTCCCCCAACCTTGGGAGCTGTGGGTGGGGTCGCAGCTTTTTCTGCAAGTGCCATCAGGGAACGAAGCACAATGGGTGGACGGCCCTCACCGTTCTAAATCTCTCCTTTTAACTGAGGGTCTAGCTGAGGAGACTTCAGACTGCACTGGCCCCTTCCGCCAGTTCCAAAACTCACAGCCGGGGGACCAGTTGAGAGGGACTGTGCAGTGACATTGTTTCTGTGACCCCGTTGCCCATTCAGGGTCGGGATGCTGGCTGGGCCGGTTGCGGGGGACAGGCTGGGGACACCATGAGGAAAAGTCCTTTGTGCGTGGCGGCCCCTGTGCCTGTACTGGGGTCTCTCTGTGCCCACAGACTGTACTCTGTGTCTAGGGAGGTAGGCAGGCCAGATGGTGTATGGAGACCCTGAAATTTTACACCTCACCAGACGCTGTGGCTAAGTGAGTCTGCATAGTAAACTCATTTATAGGATGTTAGAAGGCTGGAGTTAAATATTTAATGTACTGCTTTCAGCATTTGTTTTTCAAAGGAAGAGTTGCCATAATTTAAAATTTCACACAAGTATTTTTAGAAGTGACTCTTTCCAGTAGGTTTGTAACAGCTGTTTTTTGTGTGCACCCAATTGTGGCTGAAATCCTGTACGTCATTCCTAAACCTGTCACTATGAGGTGGCCACACTGACCTACAGTGTTCAGTATCGCTCAGGAAATGAAAGTCATGAACGCAGTAGGCTGCAAGATATGTGGCCGCTGTCGCCCTTCCACAAATGAGGACCCTGGTGTCCGCAGACGTCCATGCTGGTGTGGCCGGGCCTGTCCCTGGTCTCACTGCTCATGTCCACACCATGTCGTCGGGTTCCGTTCATCCCCCACGCTGTCCCTCCGTTTTGACTCTTTGTATATTATTTCCAGAGATAAACTGCTGAGCTTTGTGTCTAAATTAAACACACCATCTGGGTTACGTTGTTTGGGGGAGAAAGGAAGGGACTGCTTTGTTAAAGTGGGTGCAGCCGCCTGACAGCTTGGCGCACTGCCATCTAGTGGGAGCCCGGGGCACTGCAACAGCTTCATGCTGCTCTGTCCGTTTCCCCGGGGCTCCAGGTACTTGGGTCTCAGGAAGGAAGGCAAATACCACCTGTCCCTTGTCACTCGGAAAGCAGACAGAACACATGTACTCTAATACGTAGAATAGAGATTGGCAGCAACAGTTAGGCATAGATTGGCTATAACTTCCTTTGAGAGCATCATTTTTCTACGTGGTCTCTATTAAAAACATCAGTGTTCACATTCTGAGTCCATTACCTATTTCAGAGCAAAGGCTTTTCTAAAACTATTTTAAACTTGTCTTAAAATTAAAGAGAAAACTATGATTTTAGGGGGTTTTTTTTCTTCCTCATTTGATCTTTTGCGAATTACAAACACAATATTTGTGTTTTGGGTACAGGCGAAATGACGCAGAGCAAAGCTGGCCTAAAGTCCCCATGTGACCAATACTTTTTCTCTGTGTGTGTTCTTTCTTATCTTTCTCGCAAGAAATACTAAAAGAAAAATGTGGAGTCCTTTTATAGGGACAGATACCTTTGTAGGTGAACGTAGGATTTCTGGGGCTTCACTTAGCTACACAGTCTTTATCTATTGCTGATGACCAGTCAGAAAAGCTACCATTTAACCACAAAGCTAAGCAGCAGCGGGCTTCTCCAGATAGCTTGACGGTCTATTAAATGGGGCCTCCTTCTTCCACTAAGAGTTAAGTTACTTTTTTTATTTTCATCTCTTTATTGTTTGTTCTGCAAATTAGCTTATTTGGGGGATTGAAGGCCTTGGGCCCAGCTGATTTAATGAATTGATTTCCAGCAGACCAGGTGCTTGACAGTTAGCTTCTCCTTGGTTATTTGAAATGTTTTTCTTTATTGTTGAAAGTATTACAGATGTCCCCTTTGTTTGTTTTTCCCATTGACCCCCTCCACCCTGCCCCCGCCCCTCCCAGGCCTTCACTTTTGTCTCTCTCCATGTATGCATGTAAGTTCCCCAATTAATCACTGCCCACCCACACACCCACCCCCGCCTTTCCTCTGAAATTCATCAGTCTTTTGAAATTTTCAGTAATGTTATTCCCAAGTGGAGAGAAGACCCACCCCTGAAGGGCTAAAGTCATCACAGCTCAGAACTGGGGTGCAGGGTGGTGATGTAGAACCCTCTCGATCGAGGCCACCTCGATTCCCAGAATATCTAGTCAGGCCGAGGTGGCACGCACATCTGAAAACGTAACAGTTCTAGATGTGCACTCTTACACGTACAGGTGGTGTGGCACACGGCTGGAACGTCAGAGCTCCATAATGGGACGTAACTGCCAAGTTGAGAGTGAAAAGGGCGCCTGCGGGCGAGAGTTCTGGAAAGCTCCCATGAGACACCGTTTTGCCCTGGTCTCTGGAGGACAGCCGGCTGTGGGCACAGGAAGGAGAGTGCTCTGGCACAGGGAGCGCCAGGATCTGAAGCCCCAACCCAGGGCGTGAGGCCTGCCCGCCCTCGGTTCCGCCCCCTGGCGCGGCCGAGGGACATGGTCCCTGCTCTTGTTTCCCCTCCTGCTCTTCGGACACTCAGGAGACTCAGGAGAGCAGAGTCCCTCCTGGAGACCCAGGTGTGGGTGGGCAGGTGACCACAGGTGCTCTGGGAGCCAGATCCCGGGGTGAACTTGGGTCTGTCGAGCTTGGCCATTCTGAGCTGAGAACTAGTTTGGAATTGCCTCCTTTCGGAAAGACCGAGCATGTTGTCAGGTTTCATTCACCCCCTTGGTGACTAGCTGTCATACTTTGCTGTGTCATTTTACTGGTCCATTCAGGCAGCCTCCTCTCAGAGAGCAAGTTGAGGTGCAGGTTTGGAGGAGAGAAGGTGGCAGGTGGTGAGCCTTCTTGGTGGGGGACAGGCTAGTGAGGGCCTGCAGCCCAGCGTGGGCCCAGGGCGCACACAGGACGGGAAGTGGCCATCTTTGCAAGGCATCACTGCCTTGATATCCTGACCAGTGTTTAGCACCTGCGCCCAAATGCTGCCCCACAGACAGCGTCACTGTCACAGTTCCTGTGTTCATGAGCCTCTCTGCATGGCCTGGGCCCCAGCTCTGTGGGGAGGTCTCAGCCCAGAGTCTGGACCGGCTGTGGGGCACGCATGTAGAGGTCCAAGGGACCCCGGTCACCAACGAGGCTGACTGGCTCAGGCATGCTCTGCACTCACCAGTTCGTCGCAGTGGATCCCAGGCCTCGAATGGAAGAAGCTCTGAGCTTCCGGAGGCAGACTGGAGACACAAAGGGGAAAGCATGAGTGGCCGCTTTCCCCGGGGAGTTTGGAGACAGCTGAGCACAGGGTTTCCTCATCCTCTGTGACCTTCTAGTGAGCTATGGAGAGGATCCCTCTGTGTACCAAAAAAGGGAAAAAGGAAAAGAAACGTTTCTTTTGTTGGCCACTGAGCAGAGAAGGAAGTAGCGCCATTGTCAGCGTGGCCCCTTCCCTGAGACCTCTCGAGGCGAAGGGTGGCCCGGTCGCTGTTCATGCAGCCGCGTGGCTGCTCTCGTCCCGTCCCACCGGGACGCCTACCTGCCGAAGGGAGAAGACGGGCCTCGGAACCACATGCAAACAGCAAAGCTGAGAAAAGGCAAATGCTTGGGGCCCCACTTTTCACCTGGCAAAGTCTCCTGTACCTTCAGCCCCCCCACCACCCGCGCCCCCCCAACCAGCCTCCCACATCTGGCATTTACCTCCAGATGTTTGAACCAGAAGGTTCACACTGACCCAGTCACTCATGAGAAGAAGAAACAGTTACGGCTGGCTCGCTGCTTTCTCTTGCTTCAGAGGCCACGCTCAGTGAGAGTGGAAATGAACACTCCGTGGTTGCACCTTCCAGCCCCAGGACCCCCGTGTTCTCGCTGTCTGGTCACAGTGGCTGCAGAGGGCAGACAGGTGTGGGGCGTCGGTCGCCTCCTGTGTGAACACAGACCTGCACACCGAGCTGCAGGAATCGGAAAGGAAACAGGTTCAACCGAGTTCCTGAGCAAGCTCCTCCCGTGGGCCTTCCTGCGATCGCTGTGTGGTTTCGGCGTCATGACGTTCCGGTGGAAACCGTAACAGTTGAGAAGCCTGGCTCTCTGGGCCGCTGTGGGCAGTGTCTGTGTCGCCTGGCAGAGGCAGATCAGAGGGTCTCATGGGCAAAGTGGTTTTTAAACTAGAAAGGGAACTACTGTGTTATCTTATCATCATCTTACCCTGCATCTCGATTATCCATTTAAAGCCTATGTTTAATATTTGTGCATTTTCCTCTCCAGGTTGAAGAGAGACCAGAAAAAGATTTCACTGAGAAGGTGAGGAATTTCTATAAGCCTTTATATTATGTCATTAATGAACCTAGTGGGTCCCAAAATGTATGGGTAAAACTAACAAGAAAATATGTTGCTTGACCTTTAATAAAGATCTTCACCAGTGAGTGAACAGGACAGTGTGTGGGCCACCAGCCAGCGTCACAGCCTTGGCGGAGGGGTCCCCGGGGGTCACTTCCAGTTTGTGCGTTAAACCCTCGGAACAGTGACAGATGGTAGGGTGAATGCCAGTTCCCAGCACCGTGGGCCCCTCAGTGTGCAGCTGTCTGTATTGGCCTCCGCAAGCCCACGGATGTTCCAAGTGGGAAACTGAATTCCAGTGAAGGTCCCGTGCAGGGAATTTGGGTTTTGTCTAAAATCGTGTCTGATTCTTGCCATGCTCTAGGGGTCTCGTAACCTGCCCGGCCTGTCTGCAGCCACACTGGCCTCACTGGGTGGCACCTCCTCCCGGAGGGGGAGCGGGGACACCTCCATCTCCATCGACACCGAGGCGTCCATTAGGGAGATCAAGGTAAAGCTCTACTAATGACCCTTTATTCAAATCTGTCTCCAAGGGGGAAAAAGGCTTAATTCCTAAAGTGCCAGATGTTTTTTCTCGGTCCTGTCTCCTCTGCCTCCATAAACAGGTGTTCTCGTAACACCAAGACCCAGCACAGACCTGGTCGCCCCAGGTGGCCATCCCTGCCTGCCCCACCCCAGCAGGGCCCACCTGCACCCGGGCCTCTGCTCCCGCTCAGCTCTGGGGCACACCTGTGCCAGCACTCACCACGCTGCACAGAGGTGCTGGGCCACTCTGTCCGCCTGCCCTCTGCACACCTCTGCCCGTTCCTTCTCTGTCACACACCTTCAGGAGACCTCACCACGCTGTTTGAGTGGCTTTTTCTTCTTCCCCTGGGATGTGGACATTGTTCTCTGTACCATCCTCAACACTGGGTGTGAGACGGGAATGCAGTGCTGTTGTTAAAGTACCTGCATCTGAAAGGAGCCCACGCAGAGGGCAGGCGTGTCCTCCGAGAGCAGAGGAGGCGCTCCGAGCTTCAGATTTGGCTTCATCTATGGAAACACTTTCTAATAACTAAACTGCATAAAAGAGAACCAGCTGCCACGGGCGCTTTCTGAAGATTTAAGTCTCAGCGAGGGTGGACCAGGTCCCTCGAAGGTGCCTGGCGAGGCCTGTGCTTCATGAGAGCATCTTTTTACTGTTCTTCCTAACATGTGCCCTGGGCCACCCCCGGGCCGCCTGCAGCTCTGTTCATTCCTGTGCTCCACTGATGTCGTATTTGCTGTTTGCTGCGACCCGGATTTGTCTCTGCCCCCAGGTTGTGAGCACCGGTCATTTGTTCAACAAGTGCTTATGGAGCATCGGGCTCCCACAGGTGCCAGGCCCAGGGATGTGGTGGTGAAGGGGACGGGCAGAGTGGGCCCGGGGCTCCGTGATGCAGGCCACAGCCGTGCTGGCTTCTGTCTCGGTGTCGCACTGTTTCCAGCACAGAGTAGAACTCTAGGAGCTGGAATGAGCCCTTAACCACAAGGAATATTTCGTGTTCCATTTTCTGAATCCCTTTTGCCTGTCTTACAAAATTATGCAAATATACCATATGAGATAGACCTCAATTTTATAAAATCTTGTGAAAATATCATGAGACACACCTGAATTTTAATCTTTGTAACATGGAAATTTCTTTTATTTTTCTCCAACACTTTAAAAAAAACCACAACAGCCCTAACTGGTTTGGCTCAGTGGATAGAGCGTCGGCCTGCGGACTGAAGGGTCCCAGGTTCGATTCCGGTCAAGGGCATGTACCGTGATTGCAGGCACATCCCCAGTAGGAGGTGTGCAGGAGGCAGCTGAATCGATGTTTCTCTCTCATCGATGTTTCTAACTCTCTATCCCTCTCCCTTTCTCTCTGTAAAAAAATCAATAAAAATATATATAAAAAACAACAACAAAGTTTGAGACTTAAAGGGCCTAGCTGGTGTGGCTGATGGTTGAGCATCAACCCATGAACTAAGACAGTGATGGCGAACCTATGACACGCATATCAGAGGTGACACGTGAACTCATTTTTTTGGTTGATTTTTCTTTGTTAAATGGCATTTAAATATATAAAATAAATATCAAAAATATAAGTCTGTTTTACTATGGTTGCAAATATCAAAAAATTTCTATATGTGACATGGCACCAGAGTTAAGTTAGGGTTTTTCAAAATGCTGACACACCAAGCTCAAAAGGTTCACCATCACTGAACTAAGAGGTCCCTGGTTCAATTCCCAGTCAGGGCACATGCCCAGATTGTGACCTCGATCCCCAGTAGGGGCCACACAGGAGGCAGTCAATTGATGTCTCTCTCTCTCATCAATGTTTCTATCTCTCTATTCCTCTCCCTTCCTCACTCTCTAAAATCAATGCAAACATATTGGGGAGGGGGAGGGGTGGGAGAAGGAAGTCACTGCTCAGACTGTTAGCGGAGGCCGCCCAGAAGCAGGAAGCTCTTGCCTCTGTCTCTGTGGTCTTGTCCACCTCTCCCTTGACATCACTTGCCTTTCTTGCCATCCCCCCAGGAGCTCAGTGAGTTAAAGGACCAGATTCAGGATGTGGAAGGCAAATATATGCAGGGACTGAAACAGATGAAGGTACCAGTGGATGGAGTGTGGGCTCATGACATTAACCTAGCTTAACCTAAAAACATCCTAAAGGAGACGTTCAAAGCGCATGCTAACCCTACTGACGCCCCAGACTCCAAATGGGGAGAGCTACACGGTGTATGCACGCTGCATGTCTTTGTGAAGCCTTTGAACCAAGAAAAAGCTACTAACATGTTTCCTGATTCACGTCTTGTCCTCACGCAGCCCTCCTCCCCGGCTAAAACCAGGAGCAAGCAGAGAGGCGAAGAGGGGTTTTTTGTTTTCTTCGCTTTCCATAGCGGTTACGTACACACACCGCCTTACTTCACCTGCCTCGCCACATATCTGATGTCTGCAGTAACATAGTCCCTGTGGCCATGCTTAGAAACACCCGAGTCATTTGCATGTTGTAACACTGTACTGATTGGTTCACTGTCTGAAAGCACCTCGTGTTGGGTTTATTTGCGTATGAGGGCGTGGAATCACTCTGTTGTTCCAACCAGGACATTTAGTTGTCATTCCTGGAACAGTCAGGGCCTGTGTCCTGTCTTTGTTAGGCAGCCATGGCAGACCACGATCTCGCAATAGAAGGTAAACCTGTCACTTCCCCGAGCTCCCCAGAAAGGACCCCCCAGTATCGCAGGGGCATCAGAGCAGAGGTGACAAATCACACAACCAATCACTTTCATATTTGTCGCCTCTTTTTAAAAAGAAAAATTAAGACCCTGGCCTTTAACTCATAAGAAGGGAGCCAGTGAGGCAGCCCAGGAATCACTGGTCCCACCCAAAACCATTGCCCTGGTTTGCGAGCGCAGGCGAGACCAGCACTGGCCCCTGACAGCTGACCAAGCAGCACCAGCCTCCTTTAGCTTTAGGTGGCTTACAGCCGGGCGCTCTGCTCTCGCTTCCGAAGTCGCCTTCCCCTGCTCTCTGTTTTGGGACCTAAATGCCACGGTGCTCTCTCGGTTGCCTGCCCTCCGAGGGCGGGGGCCACGTGAGGGCCCTGCGTAATCTTCCCTGGGCGGTCCTCTCACAGGATGGCCTTTGTCTTTCCAGGGCCCACCCACTGAGGCCTGGGTGCCTGGTGTAGTTTTCCTGTGGGTTGAGAACCTGAAATTCCACTTAATCCTTTCCTGGTTCATGGATACAGACAGGGATCTCTGGTAGCTCAAGGCAGGGGTTTGCTTCTCTCAGAGAAGCTGGCACGGTCTCCAGCTCTCGCCACGTCACTTGAACGATGACTTCAGAAACCTGTTGAACTGCCTGTCCCACTCCAGGCAGCTGCTGCATCATGGGGTTGGGACTCACTGCCTGTGACCAGACCCTCTCCATCGGGCGTCTCCCTGGTCCTGTGACTGTGTAAACCATCTTCATCCCTGGGCACAGCTAATAACTAACTTCCTGAGTGACGAGAATTTGATCACATTGAAAGGGAGGCATTTCTATGCGTTTGGAATCGCCGTGTGTTTCCTGTTTTGATCCATTTGCTCTAAGAAAGTCTAAATTTAGGGCTGAGTTGTTTGTTTTTTAAGAATGCCAGACTAAACTTTGTGGGTTTTTTTTGTTTTGTTTTCTTACTATAATTTCAACAATATGGCCTGGCTTCTGCAGGACTCTCTAGCAGAAGTGGAGGAGAAGTATAAGAAGGCGATGGTTTCCAACGCCCAGCTGGATAATGAGAAGATGAACTACATGTACCAGGTCGATACCCTGAAGGACGCGCTGCTGGAGCTGGAGGAACAGCTGGCGGAGTCTAGGCGGCAGTATGAGGAGAAAAGCAAAGTAAGCTTCAGTGTAGTGAGAACGGTAGAACAGATACGTAAATGTATGTACTTGTATATGGTGTGTACATATATGGTGTGTCGGTGTGGTTGTGTGTGTATGGGGGGGAGGTGTTTTCCAGGTTCCATAAAAGTCTGAGTTTTCTTTTTAATAATTTTTTTCTTTTTCAATGCATGTATGTGTGTTTATTTTATTTTTTTATTGGTTTTAGAGAGAGAGGATGGGAGAGGGAGAGAAACATCAATTGGCTGTCTCCTGCACGCCCCCTACTGGGGATCAAGCCCACAACCTAGGCATGTGCCCTCCTGGAAATCAAACAGAGAACGGAGAGCCATGTTGCCAGGTCTCTGGAGTGAGTCTTGTAGAGGGGAGGGTCCAAGGCGGGGGAAAAGGGGGAGAGGTGTGCGGCCAAGCTCTTCTGCTGCCCCCGCCTTTTCTGTTTGGTCCCTGGAGGGCAGAGTTGGTCAGCCTCTGTTAAAGAGATAGGCTGACCAAAGTAGGCATATTTAGCCCCCTTTTTAACCCAAAGGGTATTCCCTGTAATATTTCAAAGTTAGGGATACTTTTAGTATAAATCCTTTGCAAAGCTGGGTCCTTACTGCACCCCTCAGCACAGCCAGCTGCATGGACGACAGCAGTCACCTTCACGGAGACCCTTCCTAGGGCATTATCTCCTAGAGACGAGCCAGGAAACGCTGTCCGTTCCATCAACTGCAATAATTTTATAGTAAACCACAGGATGTCTTCTAGAAAGTCCAGAGAAATGGGTTCATGGTGTTCAAAAGGCCTTGGACACTGTGCTGACGTGGTCCCAGGTCATGCGTTCCAAGGCAGAGGTAAGTCGAGGGGGCGTGAACTCGACCAGCGGGAAACCGTGGCTCCCCCGCCTGATGCCCTGCTCCTCGTCCGCAGGAATTCGAGCGGGAGAAGCACACCCACAGCCTGCTGCAGTTTCAGTTCGCCCAGGTGAAAGCCGCCCTGCAGCAGAGGGAGGAGATGCTCGAGGTGGGTAGCTGCTCCCCATTCTGCTCTTCTTGTGTGACTCAGGAGCATTTTGTTGGCTCATTACTAAAGCCACGGGTTTTCTGGAAACCGAGGGCTTAGGCTCATTCTCCGTGCCTCGTTGATGGCATCCTGTTCCTCTCATTCCTGGGTGGTCCTGTGTGTGTGTGTGAGGGAGGAGGTGGGGCAGACAGAGTAATGCCTGTGTCCTAATCCTGGGACCTGTGAAAATGTCACCTTCCACGGCAGAGGGGACCTTGTGGTGGGAGATTATCCCAGGTTTTCTGGTGTATCACAGGGTCCTTACAGAAGGGAGGCAGGAAGGTCAAAGGCAGAAGTTGGGGGTGACATGAGGAGGGGCCCTGAGCCAAGGAATTGAGAGCCTCTAGAAGCTAAAAGAAGGGAGGAAGTGGATTCTCCTGGAGCCTCCAGAAAAGAACACAGGCTGCCCACCCTGTGGCCTCAGCCTGTAAGACTCATTTTGGACTTCTGAGCTGCAGCACTGTTAGTTAGAATACGTTCTTAATATATTTTGTTCTCAGAGAGGGAGAAAGAGAGAGAAACATCAATGATGAGAGAGCGTCATTGATCGGCTGCCTCCTGCATGCCCCCTACTGGGAATAGGGCCTGCAACCCTGGCATGTGCCCTGACTGGGAATCGAACCGTAACCTCCTGGTTCATAGGTCGGTGCTCAACCACTGAGCCGCGCTGACTGGGCCATTTGTGTGGTTTGAAGCCACTGAATTTGTGCTAGTTTGTTACAGTGCCAATAGGAAACATACAGGGTTATTTACCTTTTGGGCTTGATCAGAACTTTAGTGCCTCTCAGTAAGAAATTCCCCCAGACGGGTTTCTTCCTGCCTTTGGGACGCTGGGAGTAGAACCCGGAGCCCTGCTGGCCGTCGAGAATGAGCTCGGGATTAGCGAGAAGCTGCCTGTGCCTCCCTGTGTTTGCTGGCTCCTGGCGACTGCTCTCTGCAGGTCCACACTGGGATTCCTTCCTGTTTAACCCTTTCTCTGTCTCTTCCTCTCTGTTCCTGTTCTTCAGGAAATCCGACAGCTGCAGCAGAAACAGGCGAGTTATATCAGGGAGATTTCTGATCTTCAGGAGACGATAGAGTGGAAAGACAAAAAGATAGGGGTAGGGCTCTCAAATCTTTGAAAATCTGTTCAGACAAGCTGTATGCTTGACAAATGTGTTGCTTTTAGGATCGTTGGTGTGCTTGGATGTGTATGCATGCAGCCCCACGTGATGCAAACTCAATCATGCAGCAAATACGAACTCTCCGGAATCGATAGTGACTCCGGGCGGAAATTGGCTTCCCACATGAACAGTCTCGCTTTCGCAGCATGAGCCGGCTCTGCCCACCCCTCCAGCAGCCAGGGACTGACGGAGGGAGACACTCCATGAGGGGGCACTCGGGCACTCTTGTGTGCGCATTTCCCCGCTCATCTTGGGGCGTTTTCTCAAGGGGTCTGAGGAAGCTGTAAGGTGGCAAGTGCTTGAAATCTCCCCAGAGAGTCCTCAGACCCCCTCCTTCCCCAAGAACAGAACAGGCAGCCCACCGACCTGCAGGTGTGACGAGGGGGAAGGACGGGACCGCTCACAGCACCTGCTGTGCTTCCTGGCAGTAGCTCCAGAACGTAGTGGCCCGTCATACCACATAGCTCTGGTGACGGTCCCCCAACACTCGAGCGAAGTCATCAGAGCATTGACAGTGTGACGCCACGCCTGTCTTCACTCTGATACGCTCGTCCACGCTTACTCGGGGTTTTGTGCACGTGCGCGTGTGCACGCATGCATGCTGTGTTTGCTTCAGGACCACTTTGTGTTTGTCTGTGCCCACAGTCGCTGAGAATCCAGGTAGAAAAATAGTCTCCATTGCGAAAATACAGGGCGTCCCCCAAAAATGTATATGCACTTTGAATGATTATAAAATAAGTGTTTTTCAACATACAGTTCATTTTCAAAATTTAAAAGAATCTACAGAAATGAATGATATTTTTTGTCAACTCCTGTTTTCAAACTGATGACCGTTCTGGTCCAGGCACTGCTGATAAGGCAAAACAATGGAATCGCAAACATCCAGAATCATTTCGTTTGGTATTTGTGTGCCTTCAATTCGTCGACGGCTGCCAGTTGTCATTAATGTATCCCCATTGAAAAAAAGTCTAGTGTCACTTTAGGACCAATTTTCTTAGTTCAAAGCTTAGTCTGGCTTCACCCATTATTTCAAATCAGTTAAGCCTGAAAATTAAGTGTGTCAGCTGTTAAAGTGTGTATATATTTTGGGGGACACCCGGTAGTTGTCATGGGATTCTGCAGCATTTCCTCCTGTATTTATGCCTCATCTAAAGGCCACCGGGCCTCTGATAGTTCTCTGACACGGCTGTGAAACCGGACTGAGCTAGAATGCGATGCAGCTGCAGCCCTCCGGTGCCTTGGTTCAGGAGCATGGGCAGCGGCGTTGCTCGGCTGTCGTAAACTGGAGGAGAGTTTGTCACTGGCATTTTGTTTGTATCTCTGAGCGTGTGATATCTAACGCCCTGACTGTAGCGTTTTACAGAGTAGAAGCCTCTTCCTTACTCTGCTTCTGACGTCACCTGCTTACCTGTGTGAATTTCTCTCTCTTTGCTCCGCTGCACACTCAGGCCTTAGAGAGGCAGAAAGAGTTCTTTGATTCCATCAGGAGTGAACGAGATGATCTTAGAGAAGAAGTAGTCGTGCTGAAAGAGGAACTAAAGGTATGAAGCCCAAGAACAGCTAAAAGAGAAAGTCCCGGTTGCCACAGCAAATGCTGGGGCTCTCAGGAAGGAATGTGTGTGTGCGTCGGCGTTAATTCCTTTTATGTCATTGATGGTCGTTCTGTTAACCAATGCAAATCTGAGGTTAACTGACACCGAAGAGACGTGTAAAGCGAGTCCAGGTTCTGTGGGGTCTGCCCGTGGCCAGATATTCACAAGCATATCTGAGCTCGAAAGCAACTCTGGTTTCCAAGAACTTTCTTATATACTGTGTCAGTACTTTCCGTGCTCGTTAATGAGTTCTCCCGGGCTCTCCCCAAAGTTAGAGGGTGCATTTGTTTATTAAATCAAAGGCTCAACTGTAGGGACTACTCTAGCTGAATATAGTGGGGCTAGGCTCATGCCATTTACACTTTGAGGCCCACTGGATTGTAGGAAAGTCATGCTCTGTCTGGGCCGTGTCCAGGGGTCTTCAGCTGCTGGCCGGACACCGAAAAAAAACACCCAGCCTGCAGCAGTGGGGGTCAGAGCTCTGGGTGGGCTGTGAGCGGTGGAGGGGGCAGTGTTGAGGCAGGGCATGGCCATGGGCTAATTCTTGCATAGTCAACGGAGACATGTCAGTGTGGCTGCTATATCCAAGGCTCAAGGCCAGAGCAGTGAACCAGAAGGCTCAGGCTTGAGCTCAGGTTCGGCAGATGGTTCCCCCAGGGCTGTGAGTGCTCAGGACAATGCTCCAACCAACCGAGCCACACCGGCCACGGCAAGTTATAGTTCTTTTTCATATGCCAGACATCCTAGCCACTTCCTAATTCCTTCCTTAACTTAAATGTCATCGCTCCTTCCAGACATGTACACATTTCTTTCTTTTTCTCTGTATCTCTTTGTAAAGAATCCATCCGGGGTTTTAAAAGTCAGGTTCACATTACCATGACTTGCTCGAAGCTTCCTGTGGTGGCAGCCTGCAGGCGTCGCCTCCAGTTTAAAAGGGCTCCCGCTGAAAGCGCCCAGTCACCACACATCAGGACATGGGTGGGGCCTGTGGAAGGACCAGCCCTTGCAGGAGAGTCTGGATCTGTGTGTTGATAGAAAGAATAGCCACGAGGGTGGTGCCCAGCTCTTCTTGACTCTGTAGAATTTTCCCTGACTTCAGGAAAAATAGCTTCTTCTGAAATTATTATTAATAGAGCTTAAGCTAACACCACTCAGTGAGTATTACAACGAGCCTGTTTTTGTTCCAGAAACATGGAATAATCCTCAATTCAGAAACAGCTACCAATGGAGAGACTTCAGACACCCTAAATAGTGTTGGATACCCAGGTCCTACCAAGATGACAAAAGAAGAGTTGAATGCCCTCAAGGCGACAGGGGACGGGACCCTAGGTAAGTCCTTGTTTTCCTGGCTCCTGTCACTCCAGGCAGCATCGGCTCACCCTCACTGCGTTGTCAGGGTCGAAGCAGTCCTCACTGCCCATTAACAGTCACACCGCATGCCACCTGTCTGTCTCGTCATGGAGTTCCTTGCGCACGATGTGATCACCCACGCGTGTTGTCTGGCGTGCACCTCTGACCAGTGGTCCCCATCCACGGCTGGGGATACATTTCTCTTGCTTCTCAGAGCTGCCACATGAGACCGTGAACGCAAGGAAAATAGTCTCAAAATCAAGTGACAGTTGTGATAGTGCTACTTGTCTTTCCTTGGACATGTGCCAAGGGTGGCTTTTTAACTTACTCTGTTACGGAGTCGCCCAAAGGTGGAAATAGCAGAGGCTGTAAATCAAGTTAGTCAACCATTTTTGCAAGCCAACACGGCACATCCTATGAGATGTTCTGAGGGGTTAAGGTGTCTGTGGACAGCAAGTGGAGGCTGTGACAGAGGTCTTGGTTGCCATTCTCAGTGTAGCACTTGAGAAGGACAGACAGCCCTGGTGGAGAGGGAGAGGGACAGGCGTCCCTGGTGGAGAGGGAGAGGGACAGGCAACCCTGAGGGAGAGGGAGAGGGACAGGGGCCCTGATGGAGAGGGAGAGAGACAGGGGCCCTGGTGGAGAGGGAGAGGGACAGGCGTCCCTGGTGGAGGGGGGACAGGGGTCCTGGTGGAGAGGGGGAGGGACAGGGGCCCTGGTGAGGAGGGGTAGGGGCAGGGGCCCTGGTGGCCAGTATGGTGTTCTTTACCAGTGAGAATTGGATATATCTGCCCCTTTGTCAGCAGTGACGTTTCCATGTATGTCACATTTATGCTTCTGAAAGAATGTAAGTTGGGGTTCCAGTAGATTGTAGGAATATCTGAAAGGCTCACCGACTGATATTTGTCATAACAATTGGCCTGAGGATAACGCTTCAGAATCATGTGCAGCCTGAAGCTGCCACTGCATGTGGGGCCTCACTGGTCACCTGTGTGTGCCAGGTTTAGAGTGAGGCCAGAGTGGGGTCAGGCCGCAACTGTGGTTTCCATGTGGAACCTTTCATCTTACTCCTTTTTATTTATGGAAATGCAGAAACCTCAGGGCTTGCTTCCCAGGGGTGCCTCACTCTCTTTATGACACTGAAGGAATACACAGCTCTTTTCATTCTGTAAAGGTCGCTGAAAGAACATAAATTGCTTATGTCCACCATCCCTTTGTACTAGCTAGCTGAGCAGTTAGGAATTTGATCATGCTGCTCTTGTTCAAATACACATTTTACAAGTCCTGGATAATCATTGTGAAACAGACACTTAAGGAACCAGAAATACCAGTTTTATAAGTGGTCTCCAAAAGTTCTTTAATCACTAACAGTAAAGAATTGTGGGCACTTCCCAATATATACGTCTATTTTTAACTTAAATACATATACGCTTTCATTAATATAAATGTACATTATAAAACCAGCACTGATAGAAATCTCTAAAGGGTGAAGCAAAACTAACCATAAATGGAAGTCCTACTACTTTACCCCTTTTCCCCGGGTCAGCGCACCCACCGTGGAGACCACTGGGTCATGAAATTGTCAGGCTTTGACCTTGAGTGATTTGGTATCGTATATGCTGCGGTTCTGTTTGTCTGAAGAATCCAAAATATAACTTCATTCCGAAGCAGTGACATGTTTGTTAATGCATAATCTTTTAATTGATGAGTCATTTATCATTTAGCTAAGTGGTCATCCTAATGTAAGCGTTTACCTCCCGCTGGGACTCACTGTTCCTTAAGGAATGGAGGGAAGGTATTTGGGGCACAGGCCACTTTCTCGGGAGACAGCGGTTAGGTGGAGGAGAGTGGGTTTCTTTTTACCTTGTCTGAGCTATTGGAAAAGTATCTTCCTCAAGACTCACCTCGAGGCTGAGTTTTTAAGACAAACTGAATGTTCCTTTTAAAACTGATTGGAGGTTGCCTTTAGGGCCATGGGATCCGCAGTGCAATTTGAGAGCTGACAACGTGTGAGTTGTCAGACGTGCATTTGGGAATGAGCATGGGGAACACCCGCCTGAAGGCCTTAAAACCCATCATTTTGGATTGTTCGGCTGCCTGATCCAGAGCTCTTTCTAGTTGTTAAAACTTAACTTCACCTTTGAAAGTCAGTTCACACAAGAGGGCACCAGCAGCCACTCGCCATGAGGCGGTGGCATGACCTGGCTGGTGGCTGTGGGCGGGTGTGGTGGCTGCTTCGTGGCACAGAGCTGGCGGGCTTCCGTTCCGGGGGCCTCTGTGCTGACTCTCTCGAGGAGTGGGGCTGGGTGGGGATGAGAACTTGTGTTTACCTTGTCATGTATTTTAAGTGGTCACATCATGGGGTCCCTTCAATTTTCTCAATGGTCTTTTAGGAAAAGCCACTGCAGTGGAGGTGAAAAATGAAATTGTGGAGAATGTGGGGAAAAGAGAAATCTTGCAAAATACTGAGCAGGAACAGCACAAAGAGGACCCCGTAGAGGATTGTGTGGACACTGAGGTCTTGCCTCCTGGTGGCAGTGCCAAGGACCGGAAAACCTCTGAAGACAGTGCCCCCTCCCTAGGAACATTAGCTACAAACGAGGGACAGGTCCGAAGCCCAGTTCTAGAGAGCACGTCCTTCCTTGAACATGCAGAGCAGGTTGAGTCCAGGGAGCTCACAAACACCCCAGATGCTAGGACTGGGGCTCCCCTCGAGCAGGCTAAGAGTTCAAGTGAACCAGATGGTGAAACCCCGGGTCCTGCGTCTGGGCAGGGCAGCCGGAATGCCGTGGATGTCAAAAACCAAAGTGAAGAAGCTGCAGGAAAACAAGAACAAGATGTTCAAACCAGTTTGGGAGAGGTTAGCACAAAACCACATCAGGAATCTGCTCCTGTGCAAATACCTGAAGTTGAAAAGGTGAGCAGCTCCCAGGGTGCGGTGGAGGCAGGGCTAGCTGGATTGGAGGCGCAAGCGGGCACAGTGGCCTCACGTCCTCCCAGGTATAGCGATGACACGGTGAGTCATGACACATGTGCAGTAGATGTCCCCACAGAGTTGGGCCCAGATTTAGAGAAAGAGCTCACCAACCAGGAAGGGGCTGAATCCAGGGAGGTCCCAGTTCCGAGCACGGGAGCAGCGGGGGAGCACAGTGAGGAAGAGGACGAGGGGAGGGGGCTCCTGAGTGAGAAACCAGTCCAGACAGAAGTCCCGGCCAGTCCCTCTTCTCCAGCAGCCGGTGCTCAGGAGGCAGCAGGTGCACGTACGATAAAGGCCAAGAGAGAACCCAGTGAAGAAAAGAACGACCCACAGGGAGAGGGATTGGGTTCATCCCAAAAGAAGATGAAAAACAAGAAAAAGAAAAACAAGAAGAAAAAGTCACCGGCACCTGTAGAAACCCCTAAGGATGTTAAGAAAGAGTTAACATTTCAGAACCCAGATCTCAGTGAAACTGAGGAAGAAAAGCAGATAAAATCTCCTGATGAAAAATCAGGTGTGGAAACACAAAATGAGGTCACTGGAAATCCAAAACAGAGCATTGTGGCCCGGAGCAGTGACAACCTGGGCTTCCCAGAGGACCCTCAGATGGAGCTGGCTGGAAAACTGAACCACGAAGATGGCCATGGAAACGCCAAGGCGGGGAAAGGAAGAGGGGATGGAGAACTGTTTGAAGGTGATACCATGCAGGCCTCAGGCTACAGGGCCCGTGCTGAGGGATCAGAGGACGGAGCTGTAAAAGCTGATGCTGAAGGAGCCGGTGCTGCTCCCCACCGCCCCCCAGAGAATGAAGACTTGCCAAGCAGCGCCCGGCTCGGAAATGGAAGTCCCTCTGAGGACATTAACGCCGCCTCGCAAACAGAAGGTACAGAGGGCTGTGTGATGTCCGAGGGCCCGAGCCAGGGAGTCAGAAAGGTTTTAGGTAGCGCTAGTCTAGAAAACGATGACTTGGCACCAGCAAGGGAGTCTGGGGACTCCCATTCAGAGCGCAAAGAAGAGACGAGGGGCGGAAGCGAGAAGGACAAAAGCAAAGAAGACTGCGCGTTGTCATAGGTTGAGGCTTGCTTGTCGGGCAGAGTCAGAGAGGGGCCAGGACGGCACAGTGAGTCCAAGCAACAGACCCTTGCCGGTTTCCTCCGCTGGTGAGATCCATTAAATGTTCTAGATGGAGGTAGACGTGTGACAATCTGCCACCACGTTATCTATTACTATAAGTTATAGACTGTTACTTGTAGATTTATATTTTATTAGGGTTCTCACCCAGATTAGAAAGACAGACACATTTGTTATCATGTAAGTTTTAACTGAGAGCATTCCAGTAGTATCAAATGATAACATACACTGTTTATATTTCTGCTTATAATCAAAATAAACATAGTTCACGCCTGCCTTAGGCTGATATGAATGTGGATATTCCGGATCAAATATATCAGCATCTAATTGAAATGACCAGATAGCATTCTAGGATTCCTACATCATGAGTAAATGAATTTGTCTCATTCAAATATATGTGCTTTCATATGTGCTTTTGATATGTACATGATAACCTGCATGGTATTTTATTTAAAAAGGAGATAAATGGCCAAACATCATGTAGGTCCTTGAGTGATAAGATTTGCACCTTAGGACAATAGCTCATCATTTTAGGGATAATGAACATCCTGAAGTCCTGGGAGCTCTTACTTGCCTTTACCTCATATAAGGATTTTATCTCAGCTAATGCTTTGGACTTCATTGTTCATGATACCTGAGTTTATTTTATAGATTCTTTTCTCTTTTTCTTTTTTAAAAAAAATTAATAAATTTTAATTAAAGAATTTAAGTGGGAGGGAGGGATGGAAGGGGGGAGAGAGAGAAACATCAATGTGAAAGAGACACATTGATTGGTTGCCTCCCGCACACACCCCAACTGGGGCCCAGTGGTCAAACCTACAAACTGGGTAGGTGCCCTTGTCCAAATCAAACCCAAAACCCTTCACTCCAGGGGCCAACATTCTAACCACTGAGCACACTGGCCAGGGCCCAGCTGACAGGTCTTTCTGTAGCCCACTGACAGGAGATAAGTGATCCTGCTCTTCTCTTTACTCTCTGCTCCTCACCTGCTCGGAGCAGAATGAAAGGTACTTACACCTGGCAGCAAAACTTCTGGATGCGAAGGAGCAAGCAGCTGCCTGTAAACTGGAAAAAAACAAGCAAGGGCAAACCCGACTGGGGCGGGGGATCAAACTTGGAACCCAGGTACGTGCCCTTGACCAGTAATGGAACCTGCACCCTTTGGTGCGATGGCTGACATTCTAACCACTAAGCAACACTGGCCAGGGCTTATTTTATAGATTTGAATTCACTTCATGCCAATTATGTATCGAAGTCACTTTACACAAAGATTTTAAAAGTTATTTTCTGGAAGAGACATATGTTGTTAAAATTGCATTTTCTATGCCATATTAGGATGGGGAGAATCATTTCTAAAATTTATTTTTTAACCTTAAAATTACTTCTCTGTTTGTCTAATCATGATTCAGAAGACCAATAGAAAACAGTACTGTTCTTCAGCAAACTGCTAATTAGACTATGACAGGATATTTTCAATAGCTGAATCACTTTTGGTATTTTGGTATAAATGTTTGCATTTGTTGTGTCTCCGTATAGTCTTATTGGAAAATTCTTGTTCTGGTCTTCCTGAACAAAATATGTATTTTCTATATAAAAGAGAATTTAAAAAAATAATTGTAACATTAAGTTGAAAAATAATTGTAAAATATTAAAATCACAAGGGAATGAACATTACGTATACTGTTAACACTTTATGAGAGTATATGACTTCATCGTACTGTTACAAGATATAATTGAATGCAAAATGACCAAAGCCTCAATAAAATTTGAGGCAAACTTGTTATCATGTATTTGAAATAAAGACATTTTTCTAGTTTTACAAGCCTGTGGTTCCACTCTTTTGGCTCCTTGGATTCTGACCTTGGCTGCTATTGTACCTAATTCACCTGTGAGGTTGTGCCCATTTCCAAGTTACTGATGCCCTGTCGGGGTCCCGGGAGGGACTCCCGCTGAGCACCCTTTGTCAGTAAGGACTGAACTTCTCTCCCGGCATCTAGACGGGCTGAAGTTGCGTCATCTGGGGAGGACCGCGGAGATCTTCCCCCCGCAGCCTCGCCTGGGAGCTGTGGCTCTGAGGAGAAAGATCTCCATTCCATGGGCCAGGACTTAGCGTGCTTTGAAGAGTGTGGTGAGAACGGCAGGTAAACGCTGACTTTCTACATAAGGGTCCTGAGTGGAGGGTGATGGGGCTGCCAGAAGCCCACGGGTGCCTATGAACAGAAAAGCCTGAGGCTTGCTGGAGAATCAAGTCCAAGAGCGGCAGAGGAGTTGAGAGGGCTTCAGCTGATGTCTCTAACTTTGGCAAAGCTGCTTTCACACCAGAGTGCACACTGGGAAACAGCCTTCCTTTCCGAGGCCTCTGGGGCCGAACTCACCAAGTGTGAGATCGTTAAGCCACCTTACATTCTTTCCTCCCTTACCCAGGTTATTCCGCAGCACCCCTGCGGACACTGTGGTAAACTCCACATTCCTCCAGCCAGCCAGCGGCCTCCCTTAGTCACATGTTTCATAAGCAGACACTGTTCATCACTTCATATAGGAAAGGCCCTGTGCAGTGAACAAGCAGATAGGACCCAGCTCCCAGTGGCAGCTGAGAATTAGGACAGAAGCACCAAAGAAGAGAAGGACTCTGAAGAGCCCAACCATTTCCTGGTCATCTGAGTCTTCATTGTGAGCATCAGTTCCTCTGCTCCAAGTGTGAGATGACGGTGTAGCCCAGCACAGTAACTGATGCTCACAGCGGAGGCCCTTACATGATCAAGGGAGGGTTACCTTAGGTCTGTTAGGGTTAGCAAGGCACGGGGTATTCCCAGCAACCTGGAAACATTTCAGTGTCGAAAGATTCAGACTCGGAAAAGAATCCAAGCACATCCCAGGGGAACCTAGACCACAGAGGTTCCACCATAAGAGCAGAGGAGCACATTGATCACAGTAGCTCACATCGAAAAGCTGGGATATTTCTCACCCCGAAGCAGAATGCAGCTACTGTATGTAGAATGTGACTCTCCCTTCAGAGGTATAATTAAGTATTAGTATGGGTGCATGTAAAGAAAAGATTTGAATTATAGGTTGCAATTTTATAATATATGAAGGTTGGGACATAGTAAAGGTTGTGAGAGGTTTTAGGAATGAGATGGATTGCACTGACTGCTTTCTATAAAGTTAGTATTTCCAGTTAATGACCTGATCATATACATTCCCACTGTCACAGGACCTGGAATGCTCTTTCTCCGGGGTTAGATAGTTTGGGATTTCTGTTTTCTGTTAGTAGACTCCTGCCCCAGGAGAGCACCTTACCTAGCATGCCACCGTGAACACCACAGTAAGATGTACTGCAAGCATCCAGACTCCAGAAGGAAAAGGGGTGTGTGTGTATGTGTGTGTGTGTGTGTGTGTGTTCACGTGTGCTTGTTCAGTGTGATGATCATACATAGGGAAAACTTTGTCTTTCAGGAGAAAAACCCTCTCGTTCCCTTTCACCCTGTCCACTGTCCCTCTTACATCAAAGACTTAACATTTTTCCAGATGTGAATGGCTTCCGCTGTTGAATGGAACGGAAGCCAGTGGACTGGCTGGTGTGGACAGGTCCCATCTGTGTGGACCTCCTGGGCCCTGTAAATAGGAGAAAAAGGAATTGTCCTTAGCAACATGTTTGCCTTTGACAGTAAGGAGGACGTATTGTCCTGGCCTGGGGGCCTGGCCCAGGGAGGACGAAACAGACCCGGTGAAACGGACCTGTGAGGAGGGAGTGGGGAAAGCAGGCACGTAGTGGCTTCTTGAGAGACCTCAGTCACGGCGCCAGAAAGAGGGACTGCTTCGTGGTGTGGCTGTGACTCGTGGACCTTGCTGTACCCCCGGCGAGTGAGGTGACAATGTGAGGCCACAGGAGCAAGTGACCAGAAGGGCTCGGAGAATTCCAAGGCTCGTCCGGCTGCCCAGGGACTGACTCTAGGCCTTAATTAGCTTTTTGGTTTCTCACATGCACACCAGAAAAGGTGTTGGGATTTAGTATAGAAAGCAGATTTTTTAAAAGTGTAATCCTTACCAGTATTACTAAAATACCTTCAATGGCCACCCATTTTAACTTCCCACTATGAAAGAAAGCCCTACATTTGAGTCATTGTGACTTCAAGTTCTTTATGCCTTGTTTCTGAAAACTGCAAGTCCAAAGTCTGTAAATGGACTTGTTTGAAAATCGGGCATTAGAGAGCAATGATGAGCAGTGCTTACTAGGGTAGTAATAGGTTTGCAATGTTCTTGTTAAGAATTACAATAAGTATACCAGTGATGTAACACCATTCACTCAACAATTTAGACTGTTGGTTTTTAAAGCTATTTTTAAAAGTACTCATTTACTTCATATTAAATAATTTTGCTTTTTTCTTGTTTCCATTATCTTAAAACTATTTCGTTTCCATCTTAATTCTGCTTTAAAATTTCTCTTTCTTAAAAATTCCACATCTATTTTTCATATTCTCATTATGAGACTTAAGGTTAGAGGATCCTTATTTTTTCCCCTAAGACTATTATTACAATGTATCATTTGTTTTTTACTTGCTATCTAAGGTATTTGAAGTCTCCCAATAGAAAAATAATAAAATTGTGTAATATATGAGCTTCAAGTCCACTTTCTGATATATTCAGAGTTTCTTATGATGCCCGGGATTTTGTACATAGGAATATAAAATAGATAAGATAAAATGAAAAGTGGTATTGAATAAGAGATCTGGGTTTATAACTATAAATTTTTTTCAGTGTTGGGTGGGTTTATAGAAGGAAAGAATGGATCCTCCCTCAGAAGCAGTTTGACTGTGGGTAAATCAAAAATGGAGTTCAAAAGGATCATGAAACTATCTTGTGCTCCACATTTTCTGGATTTGTTTATTTTGTTACTGTGCCTTCCAAAATAACAGCTTGGGGTGTTCGGAGAAAACGATTAGAGTGAGCATGTAACTTGGGTTAGAGTGTGGCTACCTGACTTTTTAAAAGAAGACAAAGGTGCATTTTATGTGAATTGTTTCCATTTCACGTGGCTGATCAAAAGCAGGCAATGTGAGAACGCTGGTCCCTCAGGTACAGGACCCTCCGACCGGGAGTCCGGGCCCAGCTCTGAGGTCTGAGTTTAGGTTTGGAAAAGCAGTGCAGTGACGCATTTAGGGGCGAGGCCCTCAGGCTGGGCAGTGAGGCCTCAGAAAGTTGCTTAGTTCTTCTGGGCCTTGGGTCTTAGGACGGAATAACAGAGCCACCGGCAGGGCTCCATGGGAGAGAGAGGCTGGTGGTCGTGCCTGGCACAGGGTGGGCGCAGCACACACGAGACACGAGCTCATCATGTCACACCTGGTTCTCCTTGAGGCGGGTATAGGATTTGGCCCAAACCCCCACACCCCCTGCAGGCTGTGGTTCCCCCCTGCACTGAACACTGTATTCAGGGAGATGTTTAGGGAGATTTCTGGGTGCTTATATATATATATATATATATGCATCCTGATATATCTGGGGGGAAAAGCAGTGCAGTGACGCATTTAGGGGCGAGGCCCTCAGGCTGGGCAGTGAGGCCTCAGAAAGTTGCTTAGTTCTTCTGGGCCTTGGGTCTTAGGACGGAATAACAGAGCCACCGGCAGGGCTCCATGGGAGAGAGAGGCTGGTGGTCGTGCCTGGCACAGGGTGGGCGCAGCACACACG